GCAGTTTTGGTCGTAAAAGGCCCGCTTTATTAATCATCACTTACCGTGATTACTGCAATCAAAATCGTATTACCGATAATTTACCATGCTTACAACCTTGGCAATGAACAACTCAAACTAATAGTAAAAGTAAGAAATCGTATTATGTCAAATGGACTTCTTTAACACTATTGTCGAGAAAATGAAGAAATTGCTTCATGAGTAATCGAAGATTAAAGAAAATTAAACCGAGTTACGTAACGCTTTAATATCAAGTGATAAATGACTGTTTTGAATTGTTTAATAATCACTAATTATGATTATTTCATTTAATACCAAATAATTAATCTTCTCAAATGAAAAAAGTGATAAAATCTTTAATGTCATTTCATTTTCAACCATTAATAACATTGAATATTTAGGCCGTGTAAGCTGCATGGGCTTCCAACAGATGAATGCAGCTTAATTGCTTAAAGCCAGTTTCAGCTTCGAAAATTGCTGATAATAACCCTAATGACATTTTTATCGAGCTTTTCAACGGTTAAACATCCCGTTATATTTTAATAAAATTCAACGTAAAACCTACGTTGAAATAATACCAACAAAGATTCTAACAGTAAAGAAGTTGAGGAAATAATGTATCGTTTTGTTATAATTTAATTTGAAAGTCGGAATCTCGAGATAGAAGACGAGAAGTCATAAATCTGGATTTCGTCATTTATTATCAGTGAACTAACCAGTTTGAGACTTATTTTACACTGATGCTATTTCATTTGGTTATTGGTTGGGCAATATTTAACAGCATTTAAATAAAATGCAAGTTTTAATCTGGCATTCTGACAGATGTAATAATTACAAGTTTATCACTTGTAGAGTTTGTTTTCAGACGAAGATTATTGAAATTTGACACCTGTCAACACTTTACAGGTGCACAATGTGATAATTGATGATTTTTAATTGTCAAATAGACATATGCAAATTTTTTAAAAGATTCGTTGTGCAACTTCAACAAAAATTTCATAGTTACAGAGCGATTAAATATCATCTGCCTCTTGAGTTTTAAAGCCGTACATAGATTTTACGATTATTATACTTGAGACTATATTCTTCTCGTGCAAAGTTTATTGCTCTTTTAACACTAATGTCAGTGCTAGATGCTGGCAAAAAGTCGAAGCACAACCAAGAAAATATTAACAGCTTATTGTCTTCAGAAATCGAGTGTCAAAAGTGAACAAACACCATGGATATTCTATAAAATTATGACCAAAGACAATTAATTCAAAATGCCATAATTTAGACCATTATTAACAATTTTTGTTGGTAAATAAATTTTCGTATTCTTTCGTTGACTTCCGATAATTTCATTAAAATTTGTCGTTGACGAAGATTTGTGAGTTTTTATGAAATATGGGTCATATTTTGGATTATTTTCTCGTAGAATTGCAGAGAAAGTAATTATTATTTTATTATTATATTATTACTGTTGTTGATTTTTCTATTAGGTATAAAAATTTAAAACACACTTGTACCTATTTTAGACAAATATACATACAAGCAGTTAAAAAAATTAAAAGAGACTAGCAATCCTTTTAATACGTTTGATGAATTATTTTAAAGAATGTTTAGATTTACAAGAACTCTAGCACATGATTTTTTTTCTTAAAATTCCAGTTTTTTTCAAAATAGACAACTTATAGCACTAGTACATCACCTATAGTCCAAATAAAAAAGAATCGGCTTAAGAGAAAAGTTAGGTAGTTGATGGAGTGGGTGGTTGAAACTCATCTTCTTGTTAAATAAAAATATATGTTTTTCGTAATACATATTTATTTAAAAATAGCTTCAATTTTTTTCCACTCCCACCACAAACATTAAATTTATTATTAATTTTTTCCATGCCTTTTTTAGAACAATTTGTTTCTTCGCTACAAATTTATTTTTTTTTGAAACTGGGAGTCATTCTTCAACAAATTCTAATGTAGCTCAAATTGTTGATTCGTTGTTTTACATTTTTTCTTCTTTTGTCGATGCAAACCCTTTTTAAACTTTAATAAACTTACATTTTGACATTAATGACGTTTTTGAATAAATACTAGCGAATTAAAACATTGACGAAATCGTTCATGAACGAAAAATTAGAGAATAAGGGTTTTATATTCCTTGACAGCTTTGAAATGGATGCAATAAAGACAATAATTAAGTATTACACTGACGAAAAACAACTTGGTCTGAAAGAAAAGTAATTAGTTTCTGGCCAGGGGTAGTGCAAGCACCCTGGAGGTAAAAATGGGTTTGTACCTGCCATCGTCGGTGCAGTCAAAGAAGCAGTACAATAAAATTTACAATCGGTACATTACCGTTTCTTGTACTGAAAGTTGTACAGCAATAAGGCAAAAGAAACGAATTCGTGTCCTGAACAAACTGTAATAAAATCAAAAAGTTTTCGAGTCTTGGTTTGCCATCAGATTTCTTAAATTTCGTTTTTATTTTTTTGTGTGTTTACTTAGATAAACCTTGTTTTTGATTGATTTCTGTAGGGTACAAAATAATTTAAGGTCTATTTCAAATCTCTGCATTAAACTACATATTTATCTTTTTGTATTACCATGAAATAAGTAGAATAGTGCGATGTTTCAGTAGGGAAATATTTTATAGACGATAGACATGTAAAAGCTCTTGATCTGAGTTCACCTCTATAAAATTGATTTATTTTGTACTCAATATTAAAGAGTGCTTTTATCAACTAATTTTAGTAGATAACGGACTCCTTTTATCGTCAAGTGAAATAAAGTAATTTTTATCTACTGTTCATATTTCAAGAATTTCTGTAACCTTTTCACTCGTAGATAAACAATTTCTTTATCGTCTTATAGGTATTTGTCGTTTTATTTCATTTCTAAATGTTTGAAATTTAAATAAAAATACATACAATGAGCCGCCAAATTATGAAATAATTTTATTAAAACTGAAAATATTTTGTTTCTTATTAAACAATACACAATTTTCAACTTGAATTAAAATTTTGCACTTTTTGGTTTTTGAGTAATTACGTCATTTTTTTTTTAATGAAATTCTCTATTTTTTTAGTCAATTCAATAGATTTTTTTTATTGTCGAAATGACAACACCAGAATTCAAAAAATTAAATAATATCAACAAAAAACAAAATACAATTTTAAATCAAGTTGAGAATTTTATATTTTTTTAAAAGAAAATTGACCCGTTTGAACACTTTGTCGAAACAAAATATTTTTCAGATTTAATAAAAAAGATTATTCTACAGTATGTTCCCGGATTGAGTTTACAAGAGAAAAAAAAATTTTATCTTTGATTTTACGCCAAAACTGCAAAGGGAAAACATTTTTTGCTTTATCTGAAACGAGCAAATCTTTTATTATTCTAACTCAGTATATACAGGTTGCGCCAAAACTCGCGCCCCAGAGAAAAATGTCATGTAAAGTAGGAACGTGGAAAAAATGTTAAAAAAATTTTATCTATAAAAATTTAGAAGTTATGAGGGCTTAAATTTTGCACTTTGACTCTATTTATTTCTGTTGGAAAAATAATTTTCCAAGTTTTTTTGCTATAGGCTATTAAAAGAGGAAACAAGGAAGCTGTATGCTAAATTGTAACTCTGTTCAATGTTATTTGTGGCATTTATGGGCAAAATTTTTATACCTTTATTAAATAATTGTAAAAAAAAACATATACAAGATCATCAGTATCATTAAATAGACATAAAAAAATGTCAAATGTCAAAATTTTTTGACAGATAGAATTTTTTAAACATTTTTTTCATGTTCCTGGTATCATACCTTACTTGAAAATTTTCTCTGGGGCGCGAGTACTGGCGCACCTGTTGAAAAGTATATTTTTCTCTTGGTTTTGGAGTTGGAATATTTTTTTCTGTTTTTAAGTCCTATCACATTGGCGTTTTTATTATTTTGACAATGATATCACTTTGACAAATGAGTTTACGCAAGTTAAATAACAAAAATGTTTGTGAAAAACATAATTTTAATAAATAGGAACTCAAAGAAACAACTTTAAGATAAAAACCAAAGTCATTTTTAACAAGAACTATCATTATTTAATTAATAAATTAATTGTCAAAGTGACATAGTTGTCAAATAAATAAAACCGCCAAGTGATAGGAGTTAAAAAGCAGAGAAAAGCTATTCTTAGTCGAAAATCAAGAAAAAAAATAACTTTTCTTTTTACTGAATCAGAATAATGAAGATTTGCTTGTTTCAGGTGAAGCAAAAAATGTTTTTCTTTTGCAGTTTTGGCGTAAAATCAAAGATAAAAAAAATGTCCTCTTGTAAACCCAATCCGGGGACATTTAATTTAAAATTTATACATTAAATTAAAATATTTTGCATTGTTTTTTCTACATTCTAATTGAGAAAAACTTTGCATAAATAAATTTATCAATTAGTTCCTATAAAGAAAAGATTAAAATAGGTAATTTTCTGTAAAAAGTCATCATCACAAAGCAATGTAACTTTTTGTGATCTTTTCGAAGGCTACCACAGCATTATAATAGTTACCTAGTTGATGATATCTTAAAGATTTTGAAGATAATTTTCTTGTAACCATGCGCAACAATGTTCTTCCAAATAAAGTAAAGCGCATTAATTAACTTTATGAATGGGGCATCATTTGATTTCTCGACTATTATGTGGTGTTTCATTACGTAAACTACAAATACAGATGTCATTCAAGTCTCAAGCCCCAGCTGTTTCCGATGAAATACTCCCAGAAGCTTGATCAAAATCAAGTTATCTGATAACAAGAAGAGTGGATTTAACCTCGATTGCATTTCTGCACCGCCCTTGCATCAACAACACATGCCCCGACCCGGAGTAATTTTCAATCATACCAACCATAGATTATATAACAAGTTGGCCGAGAATTGAACAGGTATCTGCGGAGGCGGGGAAACACGGGGCTGCCACGTCCCCCCCTCACCTGCGATGGTCACTTGCTTGCGGCAACTGCAAACGTCAGTTTGCCCGAAGCCTTCTTACTAGTCAAGTTCTTGCCATAAGATGTGCCTGATTTAGTGCGTGTTGAATTTTTTTGGTAAGTGGAAAATGGACGCCAACCCCGACTCGCCGGACTCGCTGGCCAGCGACCAGCTGACCGTCGACCTGTTGAGTCCTCGTGCCAAGCGACGCCGAATCGACGTCGATAGACGCGACGGGACGCCAGACGTCAAGAACAACAACAACGACGTGGGATTCGTGCTCATGGACAACGAGAACCACGAGAACGGCACCGAGGACGACGAAGAAGTAGGTATTTTGCCGCAAAACGGGGCCTTGAAATTCCACGGGTTAAGGTGAAATGGGCTTGGCAACGTCGCATACCCCGCGGGAGGGTTTCCTAGTTAACCTGGGGCGAGCTACCTGCTCGGGTTCCCGGCGTGATCCAACGTTGAAGTCTCCGCTTTAAAGCGCTTTTTACCGACACTAAAACAATTTTAAACCAAACCAAACAAACCAATTACTAACTTTAATCATACAAAAGGTTTTGGCCAATTATTTTTGACTTTTAAACCTCGCCAAAATTTTTGCGGAGAGAGCGGAAATACTCCTCTCGTCAAAATTTCCCTGAACAGGTAGACACATTAAATTTTATTCCGTTATAATGCCATAAACCCAGGTAAAAATGAGGTTCTTATCTCAGATTATGGACACCTTTCCAGCTTTTCGACTGTATTTAAATATACCTGACATCAGTGTAAAAATTTTCTTGGGATGGCATTTTATAACAAAAGCAAGGTTTAAAAACACCTAAACACCCCCCCAACTTGCCACCAAAAGCTTCACTTTTTTATATTTAAATTTTAATATAAAAACCTTATGATTTAAATAAAAACATTAGAATTCTTTTTAAATCACACTTATTAACACAAATCATACATATACCGAGAGATCAAAATAATTTGTAATCATTTTTGGATCCGAAAACGTACAGTTCGGAATTAAAATTTCGGGCAGTACTGTCATTTCCATAATGTAAACTCTAAAACAACCTTTATATTAATAACCTCATTTTTACTCTTGTCATATTTATGTCATTTTGACTTATTTACTTTCCAAAATAGTGATTTTTGCATAATAACGGGTAGGCAGCAGATCTTAATTTTTCCTAAGACAGACAAATTGTTTAATTAACAAATTTAACAACAAATAAAAATAAATTTAATTGTCAAATATCAATCATGATGACAGTAAAAGGTAGTTTACAGTGAACTTTTTAAAGTGACAGAAAAATAGGTACTGACCGAATTTTTAATTCCGCAACTGTACGTATGTCTGTTTTTGAACTAAATAAAATGACAAGTCGAAAACTGCAAAATGGGCTGGAATTAGTCGCCGACGTATAATAATAAGACCGTTCTTTTTTGAAGGTAAATCATAAATTTAGTTAACTTTTTGATCATGGAATTTTACCTTTTCACTAGTCATTTTATTTGACGTTTCACAGACATACGTTTTCGGATACAAGGACAAATTATCTTGATCTCTTGATACTTCCTTAGTTTTTACTAATTTAAAAAGAAATCATCAATTGTAATTTTCTTTGGGCCACATCTTAGGTATTTAATTAAATTAAGTTTATATCTCTTTGAATAATGAACTTTACCAACTTGCTAAAACACCTTATACACAATTTTCAACTTGTTTTAAAATTCTACACTTTTTGGTTTTTGGTAATGACGGCAGCGACATTTTTTTTATGCATTCCATGAAAACCCCTATTTTTTTTAGCGAATTCGATAGATAATTGTCGAAATGGCAACACGAAAATATTATGTATTATATAATGTTTAAAAAAATATATCCAAAAAGTGAAATAATATCACTAAAAAACAAAGATACAATTTTAAATCAAGTTAAAAATTTTGTATTTTTTAAAAAGAAAATTGACCTGTTCGAGCATTTTACCAAAACAAGATATTTTCAGTTTTGTAAATAAGATTATTCTATAATTTTGTCGCTCACTGTATACCCTCATATCATTTAAATTTTTTTTAGATAGCCCCCCAAAATTAATTCCTGGATCCGCCCCTGTTTACACGAACTGAAATATGTCAATGGAATTATTCTTGCTGAAAATAACTGTATTTGTGAACTTTTTGTTTTATGGACTTGTATCTTATTCACTGTTGCTCATATGCAGAAAATTTTTATTTACATACTTGAGTACCCTTGAATAATTTACATAGATTATATAGGAATGAAAACATTAGTCTCTGTAACGAAATTGAATTGGAAAAAATTAAAATCAATATTTTCGCTAGACGTTCGAGCAAGATCATCAATTATGTCAATATTTAGTTTATAAATAATAATAGAAAATTATCTTCTCCTATTTAGAAGGAAAATTGTTGAATTTTTAACAAATGCGGATTTGATCTCAGTTTATGACTGAATTTATTTGCTTTTTATTAGGGTAATAAACGAGAAAATATGAAGTTGATGCAATTCCTGAATTGTAAAATAATTGGCTAGTAATTACAGGTTAATGTAAGATTAATCTTTGAATGTCTGATATTTTTGCGCGCAAAAATGTAAATCATTGACTTTCAAGGCTTTTCCGAAAAGTTATTATCTACAATTTTTTCCTGGTACATTATTATTTAAATTTTTTTAAAAAACATTGGTGTTTCATCATTTCCAATGAAATATTTCTGAAATTGAGACAGAATTTGTTTGGAAACTCTCCAAATTCTGGCAATTTATACCCAAAAGTGTTATTTAATGTGACCACGTCTCCAAAAATCTGAAGAATGCCTTGTCGAATTATCAACAAAAGAATTGATCAACTTTTTTTACCTAACATGATTAGTACCCACCGAGAAAATTAGGTGTGAACTATATAAGTCATTTTTAGTCTAACGTGATTAATATCTTTTGTAACTGTAAAATCTATTTTATTTAATAGGTTTCCATATACGGAAATTCAAATGAGGTAAAACCATGTGGTTACGTTTATCTTGAAATTAATGTTAACGAATTACATAGTTCCTGACTTGTACACTCATTAATAAGATCATTTTCGTACAAAGGAGCACACAAATTTATTTTTTTTACCAAAAAAAGTTTAATTAAGTTGCTAAAATTATAGCACAAGACAAATAACCACAGAATAATTAATTACCAAGTAAATTTTTTAGTAATTACGTCACTAATAATTATTTATATAATGACTACAATATTGCACCTGAGTGGATAACAAAGATCTTTCAAGTACCTTTTATTGAAATTTTAAATTCCTACTACATTATTCTGACAACGTTTCAAAGTTCATTTTATGTCAAGAACTAAAGTACATACGTTATATTATAATACGTGCTACTTACAGCTACCAACAATAATTCATTCATAAGTGAATATGTTACTATTATTTCATTGGTTTTAACAATATCATGTTTTATTTTTCTTTAAATTTTTATAAATAGCAATAAAGTGTTTATTTCGCCAATTTGCTGCAAACCGGAAGCGTGTGTCTGTCTTCAGCAGGACAGGTCGGGAGTTGAATTCCGGAAGTTCGTGTTTGTCGGAGAGAAATGTTGATTGCTTCATTTTATAACGATGCCCGGGGGCTCTTAGGGGTGTATTCATTGCCGGTAGCTGTTCTCGTGCGCCTGATGACTGGGCAGTGCTCCAAGGATGTGCCTAAGTAACAGCTCCGGGCGATGCGTGAGGCGTGTGCTCCGCATACTGCCTTCCGGGTAACCCTTGCTCCTGCTACCATGCATTTGCTGCCAGCAGTTATTCATTCACACTCTCGATAAACGGAAATTGACCATAAACGACTTTTTGCAGGATTTTTCACAATCATTTTCAGTTAATAATTTGCATAGTGTAAAAAATAACAACAATTAATTATTATTTACTCAATAGCTATATCATTAACAAACTATTTTTGTTTTGTCGAATGTTTATAAATAATAATTATCTAACAGAATTTATAATTAGTTAAAATCTTCAGGTGTTGTTGTTTTTGCTATTTTTGTAAAAATCCATTCCTCGAAATAAGACAAAATGGTTCACAAACAAATTGAAATTAAAATTAAAAGAAACTTACTAGAGAGATTAATAAGTTTATTAAAATTTAAATTAGGTACAGAAGGCAAATTGAAAGTATAAAGATCATTATTAAAATGCTAACATTCTTTGTACTAATAGTGGTACTACTTTTTTGTTCTTAAAGCTTTCTTTTTTCTTTAAACAAAAAAACGATTTTTATTTTCTTACAAATAATAGCACCAATTATGCGAATTTTTTGAATTTCTTCAGCTCAATTTTTCTTTTTTTATTGAAAATTTAAATTGGTTTCGTAAAATAGTTTTATAAGAAAATTTATGGCAATCTGTCGTGGGTTCAATAAAATTTAAATCAAGTTACTTTGTGATTTTGAAATTAAATTGGCAAGATGTAATAATATGTGATATACATATACCAATTTTTCTTTGTTCTGTACAGTTTCCATACTTTTCCACGTTCCCAACATAATTTTAAAGACACAGACCATTTTCATAAAAAAATTAGTATTTTCTTCTTATAGTTTTAGTTAAAAAAATTATAGGATATTTATAATTTTGTTTTATGAAACAATAAACGAATTTTTGAATATTAAGTTAAAAAATATAAAGTCTAAAACTTGAAATTTTTCTATGGGGCGCGAGTTTTGGCACACCCTGTATACTTGACTCAATTTTCAAATATTTATACATCAGCTTATTGCACATTGGTCATTAGATTCCGCCTTGTAATGCAGCACCTCTCACCTCGGTATGTAATCTACTATTGAAATAAGAAATTTGAAAGTAAAATAAAATAAAATGTTAAATAGTAAAATACATACTTAGAATGTCTTCAAATTATGAAAACTAGAAGAATTTTTTTGTATTCCTAATGAGTCTTAAAATTTGGAAATTATTTTTTTGTAAATCACAAATTAGCTATATTTTGTAAATACAAGTTTAAATAAAAGAAAAAACTCGTATTAATAAGTACAATTTTCATTCCTTGCTCTTGATGGTCTCACATTTGTGACAACAGACAATAAACTGACACTTTATATTACCTTGTTTTTGACTAATAATCTAATACTCTATTCTCTTGAGAATAAAATAAATGAAATACCGATTTTTACTTTTAAAACTGGAATTGAATAAATTGAATCTTTTGGGTGTTTTTTACATAAACAAACTCCTTAATAACAATTTTAATCTTAAAATTGCAATTGAATGAACAAACTATTTGACATTATTTGACAA